TGCATTGCTGTTAGCTATGGTCGTACTACTTATGCAGAGGTCGGGTGGATGCTCATTGTGCTTGTATTCTTTTAATGTTTCAGCTTGAGTCAATAAAATCCATCCTTTGTCGGAAAAAAAGTAGAGAGAGAAATATCAGTAGCAACATGAAGTAAGTAAAGTAATTACCCGCACATGCACTACACATCATGAATCTTCTCATCAGAGCTATGGTCAGTTGTTGACATGGATGGACCGGGGCTCGTCTCCCTCTGTCCAAGATCCGTGTGCCGACGCCATGGGTCCTTTGCATCATCATGTTGTGAGGTTGCCACTAGCCTGGGTGGGGCTCGTGACTAGGAGGGTGTGCGACCTTGCCTCGCGTCACCATGGATCTCGGGCCTACCGGCTAGGAAGCTTATCCTTGCCAAGATCCGTAGCAAGACAAGGATAGTCATGTCTGGAAGGTGGTCGCGACCATGAGGACCATGGATGCCGCCATCCCTCTCGATGTTTGGGAGCCGGTCACTAGGGATGCCTATCCTAGCTACATTTTGTTTGTGGCAGGGTGGGACTGCCGCAATGTTTGTCCATGGCCAGATATGACTATGGCAATAGGCTGCGATTGATCTAGAGATTCCAATATGTTGTGGTGGCTTCCTCCGATGGCTGATGTGGGTGAAGTCTTGTGGTGGTGCGGGGGTCTTGGGCCCCGGGTGTTGAGGCGGCGACCCCTGGTATTGGGCTGCACATTTTTTAGCTCTCGATAAAGTGGTGTTGGTTGTGTTCCTTGGTCATTTACAAGCAGAGGTGTGCGGTGGCATGTGACCCTGTCAAGGTGTTAGAATAAATCTGAGGCATACCGTTGATCATTCAAGAACCAAGCAATCACACGAGCACGACATCGAGGTTTGTTAACGAGGTTCACCGATATGGCTACATCTCTGGATCTTGACTATGGACGCTCCTTCCCATGACACCGCTACAATACCGCACCCGGTTGCCCTGGACACCGGCACATGCCGCCGGATTCCCCTACGTTCCGGTGCTATTATGTTGGCATAGGTTACATCGTGTGTCTACCCCCGCTATATATGAGAGGCCTAGGATACAAGTGTCCTATTAGGACACGACTCCATATCCTATCTAAACACAATACTACTCAGAGTCCAACTGTAACCTAACTTGTACACAATATTCGACACAACTCCAACAAACTCCACCTTGACGAATATCCTCCACCACCTTGAATTTGTCAATGCGTCAAACTTTCATGTACATTGGACTTGAGTTTATCCCATGAGTACCGCTGCTACTTCAAAGACTCCATGTGACTTCACCTGCAACTTGTAGTCCCTTTTTTTTCATGACCACAGGCAACACTCGAGCAAAATTAAGGTCCTTGTTACTCTAGTTTGTGCTCCCAACTTTCAGAGTATCCGTCCAACGCCTCACACACTGATCACTGACCTACATGAAAGTGAACAACTCTCATATTGGATGTCACACATAAGAATTACCTGAACTCAACATCACCGCTCCTTTCTCGACCGCATGTCTGAAACTTGAAGGAATTTCACCGTTGCTTGCAGTCATTCCGAGTCAAATTCGCAGTTGTCTCATCGCATGTATGACCACCAGAGCCCTGACCCGTCTCCATGTCCCGTGCATACCGCACGCCTCGCCGCTATTACCGCGTCGAGCCTCCGCTGTCCCGGTCGAGTCTCAAGGGTCGCAGACCCACACCACTCAACCCCCACTGCAGAGTACCACCGATCATCACCGACCGATGACGAGTTTCACGCTTCCATCAGACCACTGGTCTCCAGTCCGAATTACGTGTCACTCGCTTTTTTCTCGCTGAATAGGCTTCGACTCTCTGTCGATTTACGCCGTAGCCCCTCAATCAGCACCGAGTGAAGTCTTCCAAACTTCAGCTCCACCTTCAACATGACTCCATGGTGGTTTTACGTGCCACCCCACGCCTTGTCGACTCCAAGCTCTCATGTGCACCATCTTGAATCAACCCCGCGCCATAGCCTTTGTCGAAGGCACACAAGCACTCAGACCCGTGCCACGTGTTTCCACACCCAGAAGTCGGTCACCATCAGCATCACGCTCCTACGTCGTCTTCGCTGATCCCATCACCGTCTTCTGTACCAACCGACTTGCGTCGATCCGTCAGACTGCCTAGTCCAACCTAGCCGAACTAGTTCGACTGTATGACACGCTCAAGGCTCCCAAATCATCTTCCGCGAATTCTCATCCATCACATGATACTTCCATCTTAGCTAACATGACTTTCCGCAACGCCTTCAAGCATCTCTGTTGTGCCAACAAATTTTTCATCCGTGTCTGCCATAACCCAAGGTTTTCAGTCCCGTCGAACTTCTTCACCTCAAACCCAGTACCCATTGGCACCATGGTTCTTCGTACAGCTGGCCCTGTGAAAAATTATCCGAGCTTTCCTCATGTGATGCCCAAGTACACAAGCAAAACCTGACGTGGTACACCCTCATGTACTAATAGCAATTCCAACCAAAGAAAATATTCTGGTAATCACGTGATGGCTCCATTTGCACAACTTCCAATGCGTGCTAATTGCTTTGCCTTGCCTGTGCTTTTCAATGTACGCATATCACGCTGGATTATCCTGCTGATGATCTGATCTGCTTGTCCGTGTCATATACTATGGAGACTCGGTCTCCTTTTGTTTCCAAACAAATCTCACGTAAGTACGCTCAACTCACACCCCTCGATCAGCGTCTCCACGAAACCAGCAGCACAGCCCGTTGCCTGGGCCTTCCCTGCGCTTCGGCAAGTCCCCCCCGCGTAGCTCACCTCTCCAGATGGGCCTCCTGCCATGGGCCGCAAGACGCCAGCGAGCCCAGCCACGCGTGCCATCTAACACTCGCCCGATCGATCCAACCAATCGATCGCCGCACGTAACGCGCACGCGAGCCTTCCGCTGGTTCGACGCCTGCCGCAACTCACCGATCCTGCCGCCGATTGTCGTAACTGCCGTGATGCTTCTGAGTTTTCGTCGACTTCCATGCCGCCCTATTGCTCCTTCGCGATCTTATCTGATCACAGCGACCCGACGGCTTCCAAAAGAATTCCCGATCGACCGTCGAATAGACTTCTTCGCATATCGTCTTTGCACCATCTCACAACGATCCATCCTCTAGATCAACAATCCAGCAACCTCCTGAAAACCTAGCTCATAATACCACTTGTTAGAATAAATCCAAGGCATACCGTTGATCATCCAAGGATCATGACACCGCTATAATACTGCACCCGGTCGCCTGGACACCGGCACATGACGCCGGCTTCCCCTGCGTTCCGGTGCTATTATGTTGGCATAGGTTACATCGTGTGTCTACCCCCGCTATATATGAGAGGTCTAAGATACAAGTGTCCTATTAAGACACGACTCCACATCCTATCTAAACACAATACTACTCAGAGTTTAATTGTAATCTAACTTGTACACAATATTCAACACAACTCCAACACAAGGAAGTTGTCACTGACGGTGAATTTCCCCTTCATCATTCTTAGTCCCCACCGGGGGCCATGGTAGCTTGTGTCCCTTTACCAAGGTGCATTAGAGTGTCAATCGAAAGCGTCATGCCCTAATTAACATCGATGGTGACGATGCTTGTAGGTGTCTTGTCCCTCTTGGAGGCGGACATGCGGTGCATTGTTTTCCCTCCTCACCCCGTTAGCCATCACTCAGGGTGAAAACCATCCTTCCTGGGCAGACACAGTACAACTGGCACTCACATTGATGGGTGTCAATGATCCCTGATTGCGGTCGCATGTGCGGTTTGGCTTGGAGCTCCATTCGACAACACCTTGGCTCCGACCGTGGCTAGCGGTCTCCTTTGCACCTACCTTCTACACGTGACTTGGAGCTCCTTTCAGCCCCAACTTAGCTCCGATGGCTAGCGGCCGTGTCTGCACCTAGTTTTTACATGCAACGACATCCTCTCTCTGTCCTTTATGCTTGCTGGTATGGTCGGCACTCCTCGGCCCTGAGCCACAGGGCAGAGGGTCTACTGCAGCGGCAGGTTGATGTTGATCATGTTGCGAAGTCTCGTGCTTTCCAGGTGGTGCATAGTTGCATGTCGTTATTGGCATTGGGTTTGTTTTGAGGTAGTCCGACCCCTCATGTACTTCTTCTCGTCGACAAGTTGGAGGCATCTAATAGTGCACTTTTGGTGCTTCAAAGTATAAGGAATGAACTTTCCGCTGTTGTGTTCCTAGCGCGGCAAGATTCTTGGCCATGGGATCAATGTGTGCAGGAGCATTTGCATTCACGCAAGCAGGTGGGGAAGGAAAGAAACCAAAATAAAAATGATATGCAAACTAACCACTAGGCACGTTAATATTCGGTTATCACCTTTATCTTTGTATTGGCAAGAGATTCATAACTAGATTTTACTTGGATATGTTTTGATAAAAAAAACTGGACTCTAAAGTTGTCATTCCGAGATTATTGTACTTGGAATCGAATTGATACCAAAGTTGGCACTATAGGAAAGAGTAGTAACAAGAGGATCTCATCAAAACAAAGCCGAGCCAACCATTGAAGACCTATTGTATATTGAAGCAGCAAGTTAAGCATCAATATCATTGCTTTTTGTCACATCTGCATGCGTGCATAACCTAATGCCATATTGGTGCTATATTCCGGTCCTAGTAATAATCCAAGGAGGAAGGAGAGGTGCGGTGCGCTCGCGTAAGATTCCATTTCCGGGGGTGACATCTTAATTATGTGCTGCCTGCCTCGCGATGCCGGCCGTCCCTCCGGCCTTTGCTATAGCGATTGGACGACCGAAGCCCACACATGCGTTTGAAGATATCGGCTCCGTGCTTATGCATAGCTTCCTAGTATAGCTAGCTATAATTAGAGGGTCCTTAACAATAGCCCAAAATCCATTCTGGGCACCTCTCATCACCACCTATTTAGCTTGTGTCCGGCCGGCCATCTTCCAGCGGCACACCGGCTCACCATGGCGACCCCGCCAAGGCATGGTTGCATGCTCCGCGCGGAGGTGGTCATATGCATATTCCTCGTCATAGCACCGTTCAGCGCGGCGATCGGTGTCAACTACGGTACCAATGGTGACAACCTTCCGTCGCCGGCCAAGGTTGCGGCATTCCTCGTGACCAACACAAACATTGATCGTGTAAAGCTGTTTGACACCAACCCGGACATTGTTCGGGCCTTCGCCGGCACGGGCATCTCGGTAATAGTCACAGCAGGCAATGGCGACATCCCTGGCCTCGCCACCCAGACCGGCGCCGACTCATGGGTCGCTACCAACATCGCGCCATACTACCCCTCGACAGATATATCTCTCATCGCCGTGGGCAACGAGATCATGGACACGACCGACAAGAATCTCATCGGCAAGCTCGTCCCCGCCATGCAGATGCTCAAGGATGCGCTCGTCACGGCTGGCTACAACGAAATTCGTGTTTCCACGCCAAGCTCACTCAGCATCCTGGTAGACTCCCAGCTGCCGTCCGCGGCTCGGTTTCGCGACGTCTGGGATGACGCCATCTTCACGCCGATGCTCCAATTTCTCCGGCAGACCAAGTCGCCACTCATCGTGAACATGTACCCGTACTTTGGATACAACGGTGACACACTACCGTATGCACTGGCGCGGCCGAACCCTGGCGTGCTAGACACGGGTACGGGCATCACGTACACGAGCATGTTTGAGGCACAACTTGACTCGGTGTACTCGGCAATGAAGAAACTTGGGTTTGAGGACGTGGAGATCCTGGTGGGGGAGACCGGGTGGCCGACTAAGGTGATGGACGGGCAGATCGGCGTGAGCCAGGCCGAGGCAGCTGAGTACAACAAATATATCTTCCGTGAGGTTAGTTCCGGGTCAGGCACACCGCTCATGCCAAAGCGGAAGTTCGAGACGTACATATTCACCCTCTTCAACGAGGACCTCAAACCCGGGCCCGTGGCTGAGCGAAATTTCGGGATGTTCCAGTCAGACTTCACGCCGATGTATGACATTGGCATCATGAAAGATTCGGTGAGCACGTACACGCGTTGCCCACGACGAGCACACACACAATGCAAGTTATTCTGACGCACGTCCGTGTGTAATGCAGGTCAAAACAACACCAGCGCCAGCGTTGGTCGTCCCAGCGACATCGCCGAAAGTGGCAGCAACGCCTATACTCGCCACTGCTGATGCGTTGGAGGCTGCAGTGCCTGCAAAGGTGAACGGCTCGAACAACGCCTAGGCGTCCGCGCCAGCATCGTCGCCAGGCAACAAATCCTTGACCAACGACAGGATGCCTATGCGTGCCCAGACGCTAGTTGACGCCTGACGGTCCACTTCTCTCGGATTTTGACAGGACACTTAGAGCATCTCTCAAAGATGTAAAACAGGAGATGTAAAAATTTACATTTTCAAAAATTATTTTATACTTCTCTAAAAAAGAGGCAACTTCAACAAAAGATGTACATTGGAGATGTAAAACAGCAACTCCAATAGGAGATGCAAATGGAGATGTAAAACTATACTTCAACTAGTACTTCATTTGAAACATGTAAATTCAAACACAGCAAATTCAACTACTAGTTCATTTCAAACATAATAATTAAACATAGTTCTAATTTAAAACATAAATTAAACGACTATTTCAACTAATTCGAGCTACTACATTCATCAAGTTATCGCTACTAGTACTAGTTCGAACTACTATTTGAACTACACCGAAGATGAAACTACTCCTCATCATGGGAGGTCGTGAACTGCTTCCAGAACTCATCCTTGTTTGGGTTGTTGCACCCCTCGTCCCCCTATGAGTCATCACAGTCCTCCTCTGAGTAGGGATGGCAATGGGGATACCTACAACATCCCCATCCCCATCTATTCCCTATCATCCCATCCCCATCCCCGTTTACATGACCAGGGATGAAATTTCCCCATACCCATGCCCCATCGGGGAACGGAGCCCCATTATGGTCCCCATCCCCATAAACAAATACTCATATACATAATATGACACCCTATAATCAACATACATACATGGTGTTTCCTTGTCCTGCTAATGTCTATCTAGATCGTATTGACTTCTTGGTCATGGTGGCAGCTGAGGTGAGGATGTGAGATAGGTTTAAGGTTTTTTTCAGAGCTTCTTTTGTCTTCGCAAGTTTGTTTGTGAATATTTTAAGGTTGGCTGTAGTATCACAGTTACTAACCGGGTGAAAGGGCATTTCCCTACTTTATGTTTTGGATGATGATGACAACCCTTTGTGGTCTAAACGTGTGCTATATGTTTCAGGTTCTCGATGCTTAGGCTTACATCGGATTGCTATTACCTCTCGAAGGAAAAGATCGAAGACGTGTCCTCTACGTTTTTATTTTCTTTGGTCGTAGAGTACCCGTACTATCAAGAGGGAATCCTCATTAGGAAGCTCTGGGGGAATCAGTTCACGTACACTTTTCTCACCCTCTCTTTGCCTTCCTCAGGTGTGTGTGAGAGAGAGTTTTCCTTGCCTCTTCCCCTCTTTCCTGCTCACTGTTTCTGCCCAGCGGTTGTACCGCTCTCTGGAGCGGTTGTACCGCTGGGTCTTGTCGCTCACCAGCTTTTGCTCGAGCGGTTGTACCGCTGCCTTCGGGTGGTGGTACCGCCACCATGCTCTGCAACAGCTAGGGCGGTGGTTCCGTCAATGTACCACTCAAGTACCGCTCTCGCCTCTGGTTTGATGCTGTTCTTGGGCGGTAGTGGCCCGGTTGGTCCGGTCGTTCCATGATGACTGGTACCACCGGTGGTCCGAGCGGTTCTTCCGCTCAGAACTTAGCCGCCCAAGAGCTCAAGGCCATGCGGTTGTTCCGGCCAGGCACCGCCCAAGTACCGGTCAAGCTCCTGTTTTGATGCGGTGGTTGTGCGGTAGCCAGGCGGTTAGTCCGGTTATCTTTCTTAGCCGGTACTACCGCCCGCCTGTCCGGTTGTATCGCTTGGTAGGGTTCTGCTGTTACACCGTGAGTCCCGGTTGTACCAGGACGAGGACCGGTTGTACCGCCGCAGTGCAAAAACGCAGTAACGGTTGGAATTGTGGGGAGACTATTTAAGGGGGCTTCTACCACCTACCACTCCTACCTTTGACCTCTCTCACTCCACCATTGATGCCCTTCAAGCTCTCTTGCCCGATCTCTCTCTCTAGCCACTCAAACTTGTTGATTTGCTAGGGATTGAAGGAGGAGACCTAGATCTACACTTCCACCAAAGGATATTTGGTTCCCCCATACTTTCTTGTGTGAATTTTGTTACTCTTGGGTGTTTGAGCACCCTAGACGGTTGAGGTCACCTCGGAGCCATATTCCATTATGGTGAAGCTTCGTGGTTTTGTTGGGAGCCTCCAATTAAGTTGTGGAGAGAGCCCTAACCTTGTTTGCAAAGGTTCGGTAGCCGCCTTCAAGGGCACCAATAGTGGAATCACGGCATCTCGCATTATGTGAGGGCGTGAGGAGAATACGGTGGCCCTAGTGGCTTCTTGGGGAGCATTGTTCCTCCACACCGCTCCAACAGAGATGTACTTCCTCTCAAAGGGAAGGAAGTTCGGCAACACATCCTCGTCTTCACCATCTCCACTCTTGGTTATCTCGTGCCTTTATTTAAGCAAGCTTACTTGTTTCATATCTCTTGCTTGCTTGTGTACCTATCCTCGTTGCATCATATAGGTTGCTCACCTAGTTGCATTTCTAGACAACCTATTTTGATGCAAAGTTTAACTTGTTAAAGAAAAGCTAAAAATTGTTAGTTGCCTATTCACCCCCCTCTAGTCAACCATATCGATCCTTTCACCGGGTCCCCGATGGGTATTGGATCTGGGGAATAGGATATCATCCCCATCCCCATTGTACCCTATGGGGAATAAAATAGTTTGGTAAATATCCCCATGGGGATGTTTTTCACCCATCCCCACCCCCTAATAGATGAAATCCCCACGAGTTTGGCGGGTATGGGGCCCCGTTGCCATCCCTACCTCCGAGGACTCGGCGGGGATCACCGTCAAGGGGCCGGCCTCATTCTCCTTCTTCCGCTCAGCGTTGCGCTTCCAGAAGTACTCCTGCTCGGCCTGACCATACTCCAGATTCTCCTGCACGAACCTCGCCATCGCGTCCTTGTCACTATCGCCGGGACCAACGACAATGGCCGGCATCCTGTTTGGCTTCTTCTTCTTCGGTATCTCCCCATCCGAATGCCCTGTGGCACGAGCATCTATGCATCCACGCGGGTCTCGAGCTCCAGGAAGTTGAGGTTTGTCTTGGGCCTTCCAGCATGCCACACCTCCACATCGTAGGCACGCGTGGCCTCATGGATGGTGGGGTGGGTGCCGAGTCAGAAGCGACGGCTTGCAGGTACTGATTCAGAGTTCGAATTTATGAATGTTAAATTTACCGAGCAAAGACCCTTTAACTATTTGAGTTCTCCTACTAGAAATGTAGAACATGAGAATAAGGAATTAATGAGATAAGATTTTGAAGAATTGATTAAAAGGCAATTGGGAATTAAAGATGACAACACTTGAAACAATGTCTTACGTCTAGCTAGAGGCATAAAACAATTGCGCTTGTTGGGAGGCAACTCAATATATCTAGTTCCTTTTTTCTTTTTATTTTCTATTTTTGTGTGTTGACACAATTATTCTTCTGCTATGATTTTTTGATGTTTTAGTTAGTGTTTGTGCCAAGTAAAGCCTTTGGGACGATTTGATTTTGTGAAAAAACAGAAACTTTTACGCTTAGTCCAGGAATTCATAAAAATCACTAGAACGTGCTTTTGATCTGACTTTGATACACATGATTAATATAGAAATTCCACATGTTATCCTAATTGTCAGAATGTTTAGAGTTCCACAAGTATGATCATTATGCAGATCTTTACAGACTTTCTATCTTAGACAGATTCTGTTTTTTGTTGCATAGTTTGCTTGTTTTGATGAATCTATGGATTATATCGGGGGTATAAGTCATGGAGAAGTTGGAATGCAGTAGGTATTATGCAATAATAAAATATTAATGGGTTTATAACAGTATCTAAAGTTTATGATTTTCTTGTTATACTAACGGATCTCACGAGGTTTTAGTTGAGTTTTGTGTGCTGAAGTTTTCATGTTTTGGGTGAGATCATGATGGATGAAGGAATAAGGAGCGGCAAGACACTAAGCTTGTGGATGCCCTAGGCATCGCCAGGTAATATTTAAGGAAGACCAAGCGCCTAAGCTTGGGGATGCCCTGGATGGCATCCCCTCTTTTGTCAACAAACCATTAGTATATCTGGAGCTATATTTTTATTCGTCACATGATATGAGTTTTACTTGGAGCATCTTGCGACATAGTAGTTTTCACTTTATTTGCTTCTTAGTTTGCCACAATCATCTTTTGTTGTACACACCCTCTGAGAGGGACACACTGTCGGTGTCAAAACCGACAGATCTCGGGTAGGGGGTCCCAAGCTGCGTGTCATGGATCGATGGGTAACAGGAGACAGGGGACACGGTGTTTACCCAGGTTCGGGCCCTCTTAATGGAGGTAATACCCTACTTCCTGCTTGATTGATCTTGATGAATATAGAGATTACAAGAGTTGATCTACCTCGAGATCATATGTTATGGTCTAAAATCTAAGGGTATAATGAATAGTATCATAATGATCTAGCATATCCCCTACCGACTAGCCCGGCCTCGACTTATATAATGTACCAGAGGCCTAGGATAACAAGAGTCCTAGTCGAATACGTCGGTAGAGAAGAGTCCTTGTCTTGATCACCAAGTCTTGTGGAATCTTCCTCGTGCATGCATCGGTTGTCCGAACTGGCCCATGAGTAAACAGCCATGGGGGTCCTCGGCCCAATCCAACTGATCGGGAGACGACGTGGTGAGTACCCCCTAGTCCAGGATACCGTCACACACATTTATTCGTGATTTCTTAGAATATTCTATGAGGTTCATTTATATCTTTTGAGCTAGGCAGTTGCTCTAGTGTTTCAGTTATATCCTTTTAAGCATTTGATAAATAGTAATGACAATATGCACTTGTTATGAAAGTGGTCCTAATATGGTATGAAAGTGGTCCTAACTATTATATGATTGATTCTGTGGAAGAGTTTTGCGATATTAAGGTAGTGATATGTGGGAGGTACTAGTGAATGATTCTGGTTTAGTAAGAATATTGGTGTTCAGATTTGTTAGGTGATGAAGTTGGAGCATGATTTATTATTGATTGTCTTCC